GCAGCTGTGGACTTACTAACCTCGGCCAAATCAATCTGGCAAACGTACAGTGTAAATTCAGGTAGCTCCGTGCCCTGTCCAAAATCATGTTTCTCGGGTGACCGGAATATTTCGAGAACTCATAAAAACTTATAAATCGAGGTACGAAAAAAAGAGTAAAACATGTAGAAGCAGTGTTGGATAATTACAGCAAGTGAAGGAAGTCTCATACTATTTCAAAAAACCCATCTAACATATGACCGGAATCAGAACAAATATTACTCATTATGCATGTTGATTTACTGGGCAACGTGCGACTCATTTGTTACATCGGAAAACGGGGCGTCACCGGCCTCTTTGAGATCGTTTTTGGCTTCTTTAGCCACTACTTCTTTCTCAGCAACGTTTTCCGTCGCTGAAGTGTTACCCGATGTCTCTGCCACACCCTCTTCCATTTCCACATCATCTAAAAAACCGAAAATCAATTACAAGAACAACACCAGAAGATCGATATACTCCTACCGGGAACATCAGCCGAATCTCCGTCACCATCGGTCTTGTGATCAGCTTCGTTATCGTCCACATCGTCAGCCTGCGCCTCCTCATTCTCTTCATCTTGCACTTCGTCTTTTTCCATGCATTCTTCCAGATCCACATCCTCTCCGCCATTACCTTCGGCTTCATCCTAGAATAGCCACGATCACGATTCCAACCTCATCGTACCCTTATGACCTTCGGAAACTGCAATGCAATGATTATCACTAAAAGACGAGCATTGATCGTTACAGCCTCCGCCCTAGAGCAATGCGTAGGCGACTTCGTCGAACAAGTAGTCTTGTCCTCGATCTCTAGGACTACCTCTTCTTCGCGGCTTCCCAGTATGCAGCGAAGGCGCTGTGGTCTTCGTGAGTGGCAGCTGACGCTTCCCAGTTGCCCGCCCACTGAAACTCAGACTTATTCTCTGCCACGCTATCTACACCACGTTTGTCGATTTGTTTCACTGTCAAATGGTATCAGCATTGCATGACGCGAAGAAATGATTAGTGGGCAAGAGCGGTAGGATATCGCTCTGCTGGCATAAAACGAGCAGGTCCGGAAAACTAATAGAAGGTTCGCAAAACTCATACGGTGAGGCTGCATGGGGTCCTAACGTTGTTCTCCACATTTTTTTTGCTTCAGTCTTCCCCTTAGCGACTAGGTTCATTATTTTACGCCACTATACACCTGCAATTCTGCAATTACAAACAGCTGCTAAATGACACTCCAGGGTGAAAAAAGAAAAAATCAAGGAGGACACCCTATGTACGAACCTGGCAGCTTCTCAGTAGCAATTCCTCGGAGCTGCTTGTTTTATGCCAGCAAAGCTATAACCACCGCCTCTGACACACTGATCGTTTTTTGCTAATAGGACCTGACGGTGAGAGGAAACGAAAAAAAACGTGATGTAGATACTAAACTTGTGCAGTAAAAAGCATCTCAGTCTCGGTTGGCGGGAGAACAGGGAGGCGTCAGAACTGCCACATACAAGGGCCGCACAGCCTTCGTTGCTTAGTGGAAAGTCGCAAAGTGGGATAATCCTAAAGGTTCAGGAACGAGTATTTATACAAAGAAGAACGCCTACAAAATCATTGAGCGCGCAAAGTGTTTCTTCGTTGGATGCGACATACATCCTATTACCACTAAGAATCGCATTTGCTTTTCTGAACGATTACGATTACGACTTACGATTTTGACGAACGATTACGATTTGGCTTGTTGGCTTGTACAGCAGAAAGCGAGAGGCAGCCAATATAAAAGTCATTTTGTCCTCTCAAGCAATCCTGTTATCAATCTACTGCCCTCAGAGAGATAAAAGGCGTGGCTTGCCTAGGCAAGACGTTATCCCGTGCCGAAGATGTGTGTGGTAAGCATCACTTCTCACCAAACACTCTGGGCATAATATTCCCGCGTGGTCCAGGTCGGGTCTAACAAGACTTTATTCTCTCGGAGCCAACTGATCAGGCCAGGCTCATCTTGAAGATTACAAACATATATCGCCTGACCTCCGCAACATATTGCATGGCGCAAGCCGCATTCAAAACACACCACGGTTTTAAACGTAAGTAGAATGCGCGGCGCAGTTCAGAAAAGGTAACTGGCAAGGTTTCAATCACTATTCAGCGTAACAGTCAAAAACCAACCTCATCTTCCAGTTTTTCTTCGTCATCAACAGGATCCTCCACCGGAATAAGGTCTGCCTCGTCGATTTCGCCCTGTTCGGGTTCTGGAGGATACTCATCCGGCTGATTCTCATCCCATTTTATGGGGAATGATGTAACACGAAGATCATCTGTTTGAACGGTCCTTGTTAGCTGAAATACGTCCCGCATAGAGCAGAAACCGCTCAAAAACCATCCTTCGCGTCCAGCTTTGGAGAAATTTAACAGCTAAAAAGGGAATTGGGAAGCTGCTGTCGCTCACCTTTTCAATCAGCGGTTTAGCTGGAGGATTCTCCTTCAACTCAGGATCTTCATAGTCATTTGAGACAAACCATCCTAGGTTAATGAACTCCTGAAGCATATTGTAAATAAAAACATTTTTCTCCAAATTTATAAGTCAAGTGATAAACCTGTCCATTGTATTTGCATCGAAGGAGAAGAACAGTAACACCAACAAGATCCTGTACTGGAATTTTCGACGGATCGGGAGCATCTACCTGAAGAGGATGTATACCATACATAAATAGTCAATTGTAGAAGCTTAAACTTACAGCAGACAAATTTATGCCTGCCTTCTGGAACTGGGCCAACAAGAGCAGAATCGAGCACTTGATCATATGAACTGGACTTTGCCGAGCCCACATAAACCAGTTCCCATTCGAGATCTGAAATGGCAGTGTAGCTGTTTCAGAAAGTCAGGAATCCAAACACTTCGCTCCCGCGCTCAGAGCTCACCCGCTTGGAGCCTTTCCAGGGAACAACAAACTACTTATCGTTTCAATTTCGACGAAAGGATGTGGTCTAGAAATTTACTGAAGTCTATAAACAAAATGGAAATGGTTCTGTGCCCAAGGTGTGGATTTAAGGCAACGTTCAGACTTCGCGACGGCAGCGCTTCGGTCGCGCGTTCGACGCGATCGATGCGCATGCTTTCGACTGCATCGATCGCGTCGAACGCGCGGTTGAAGCGCTGCCTGTCGCGAAGTCTTAACGCTACCTAAGGCGTCGTCCGAAACTTGTCACAACAAAATCACAACGGGGAATTTTTTCAGATAGTGAGCGTGAGAAAACCTGAGATTTTTTTGCAAATGGAACTCTCCTAGGTTCCGGATTCAATTCTGGTTCCTTGTGAGATTGAGTGAAAATGTTTAGGATGTTTGGAGCAAGGTAACTTCTTGGTTACACTAAAATGTCATAAGGGGGAGAGTTCCTCTAAACGGAGGAGTGTGAAAGCGCTTAAGCACAGTTAATAAACTATAAACCTGGTGCTTCACAACCACATGCTTTCCTCTCTTCAGAAGCTTCGCTCGAAGAAAGTTAAGAATCCAAAAGAGCATCTCAGTTTTTCTCACGCCCACTATCTAAAAAAATTCCCCGACGTGATGTTTCACCCTGCTCGAGACTCTGCAGCATGCTCTCGCTCGCCAGATCGACATCTATACTTTTCGGGTTGCTGGCGCTGGTGTTCGCTCGAAACGCTACCGTAAGCCGTGGATCTTGCCGCGAAGTACTCTGCCTCCGAAGGTCAACTTCCTCATCATTACGTCGACTGTCGAGTCGAGTGCAGACACGGCTTGCGTTTTCCGCGGTGCCAAAGTCTTTCTGCACCAGTTGTTGAAGCGAGCAAATGACATGACAGCATTATATCCTTCGTATTACTCGTTTTCTACCACTTTTTGTCGCATACGCGTTTCAACGAAAAGGCTGAGAACGGCTTCAAACAGTG